GGGAAGTGCCTGCACTCCACGGCGCATCTGTTGGCACCAGCCGGAGGGCCAGGTTTTGTTTGGCCGTCGTGGGGTCACCGGCACGGTTCCAGCAGATTCAGCGGTGGCAATAATGAACGGAGCCGATGCCGTTGTTATGGCGCTCCCAAGGTTAGTCCTCTGGCCCGGACGCCTGATGGCAGCCGACTGTCGACGCCGCCTGCCAGGGCTTCCCGGCCGCCAGCTGTCCCCAGCCTTGTCGCTAGTCCGCATCCGCTGATTATTATTCAGCAGCTCCTTGGAACTCGGTCCAACCCGCGCCAGACCGGCCGTGATCGGGAAGTTCCCGTCAAATTCCCGAGAGTATTCATGACGCCTGGAGCCCGCTGCCCCCTCCTCCCGCACAGCAGATCTCTGTACTGCTAGCAGCCGCGGACTGTCCGCGTTTTCCGCCTGATTCGGCTGTCGTCGGACCGAGCCACCGGCCGGTCGATTGAGCCTTCCTCGCACTGCTGATGCTGCGGACCGCTCAAACGGACTTCCACCCGGCGTCTGCAGACAACTGCCGTCCACTGGCCCGAAGCATGGCGGCCCTGACCGCACCGGACATGCCGGAGCCGGCCGCCCGGCCCCGGCCATACCTCAGGACGCGCCGGAGCATCCACAGACCCGCGGACCGACCCTGCCATCTCCGCCTGCCCGGAGACTGGCGCGAGACTGCCTCTGTCGCGACGGCTCCACCGAGTGCTGAACAGCGCTCGGGCCCGCCGCCGGCCTGACAGCGTGACCCGAGACGGCTTCACCGGGTGCTGAACAGCGTTCGGGCCCGCCGCTGGCCTGACAGCGTGCCCCAAGATGGCTCCACCGAGTGCTGAACAGCGTTCGGGCCCGCCGCCGGCCTAACAGCGTGACCTGAGATCCGACAGGGCTCGAGCGAACGCAGCGTCAGTCGATGACGGCCTGGCCAACAGCCGGCGGCGATGTTTGGCCGGCGGGCGGCAGCCAGGGACGCGACGGGCCGAGGTCGCCCGTTTTGTTGATCGGCCGCGTCCGGGCCCGCTGTCGGACGCGGCTGTCACCCGGAACCCTCCGGCTTTCGGCGCCAGGGCGTCAGGCGCTGTTGTTTGGCATCGGGGCAGCCTGTCTGTATTTCCGCACCCGTGTGAGCTGCCCGTCTATCCGCGCCAGTGATGTCTGTCTGTCTTTTGGCATTGGGGAGTTCGTTTGTCTGTCTGAGCGTAGGGCTAGCCCGTCTGTTGACGTCCTGGACAGTTTGTCTGTGTACACGTAGGTCAGTTTATCTGTCGACACACAGGAAAGTCTGACTGGTGACGTCCAAAGCAGCCTAACTTTCGATACCAGGGGGGGACAGTCTGTCCGGACCAGTCTGTCACGACCTAAACAGTCTGTCAGGACCCGCAACAGTCTATCGGGACCAGGAACAGTCTGTTAGGACATGGAGCAGTCTGTCGGGACATGGGACAGTCTGTCAACACCCGGTGCAGTCTGTCAAGACCCGGAGAAGTCTGTCGACAACAGAAGCAGTCTGTTGGCACCCAGGCCAGTCCGTCGACACTCGGGGCGATGTAGTCTGTGCGTGAGATGGGAAACGGGGTTGGAAATGGCGAAATACGTAGCATCATTTGTGGAAGGCCCCAGAGCAAAGGGCACTGCATGATGTATCGTTATATATATATATATATATATATATATATATATATATATATATATATATATATATAATTGCATGGTGTGTGAAATCATCCATGTTTTACATGTCATTTCATGCCGAGGAATAGATTACGATTTATAAGCCTCTTTATGATGACTGCATCGAACAGTTGAGCTTTCTGGGTGTATGATGACGTAGAAAGGCTTCGGCAAATTTAACGTGCCAAGTTTGAAGCCATGAAGCGGGCATGTTATATGAGAAGAGGACATTAAGAGTTTTAAACCATGGCCAACTTCCCAAAGAGCCTGCATTTCATTTCCATCCTACATATAGTATAATTGCTCTCGTCATAAAAACAATCGTCTAAATTTGATGTCAAGTGCACACGTCAACAGAACGTGGGCTTTCATAGGATATCCAACATGAGGGAGATGTGTGAGATAAAAGACGAGTAAGTTTAGTGGACTGAAGCAAAGCGCTTAGCTTTCTATGGGGCGAGCCCTGTCCAGTACTTCCAGCGTACCTATGGACCTCGAACTTTATAATTGTACGTCTTAGTCTATCAATGTCACAAGCCTGCCACTGGTCGTTATCTAAAAACGCCTTCTATCACCACTATACATATATATATATATATATATATATATATATATATATATATATCTATATCTATATCTATATCTATATCTATATATATATATATATATATATATATATATATATATATATTGGTATATACGTCACGTGAGGTGGGCAGCTTCCGTTATGGCGGGTATTCCCAACTGGCACATTTCCAATGTCTAACCATTTCAAACTGCTATAGCGTGAGAGTAGAAAGGGAGAAACAGGCTTCAACAGTTGTTAATGCCGTGTAAATGTCCCACAATCGAATATGAATTTAACTTTTCGATCATCTTCTAAGAGTGAAAAATTCGGTAGGGTAATGCTTTCCTCGGAATTTATGCCCGCAAATTACCATGTTTCGCTGCACAATTCATCACTTCGTTGCTGATAAAGGGTACCGGTAGTGTAGGGGCCTGAGCACCTGAGGAACCAAAGGAGCCAGGTTTGATTTCCGCCGGTACACACCGTTCCTGCCAGGGTGAGAGGCAGGCGACGCCATATGCCTTCATCATCAGCTGACTGCGTCGCAAAGTCCCGATGAAAACGATAATAACGCTGACATGGAATGTTTGACCTTAGCAAAATTTAATCTGGCTATGAACAATTCCCCCAGCTGCATCCTAGTGGATAGTGGATAGCGGACAGCGGATAGCGGTCCTAGCTGACATCTGGTCGTTTAGCTTCTTCCTTAATTTTGGATGTAAACTGTCGATCTTTAACGTCAAGAAGCGGCTCTAACCGCTGTGTACAAACCGTTATATGCATCACAATAACGCCACAGTCCCAAGCGTTTTCGCAGCACACCCGAAGCGTCTCCATTCTGCCAGCCTGCGCTGTCCGTGTGAGTGGATGTGGGAGGGGGGGGGATGCCGACCGGGCCGGCGAACCGCCCGGCGCCGCTCCGGACCTGTCTCCCCTGTGGTACCGCGGAAGAGCTCCGCAGCAGCACCCTGCACCGTTCTGACGCCGTGCCGCCCCCGTTCCAATCGCTGCAACCGCTCGTAAGCATCAAATAGGTCATGTCACGACTGATGTGATGCACCAGTAGCTAGTGAGACGTTGATTTCTGATAGTACTCATTTGCACGCCAGCCTTATTAGACAGGTAATTATACCTTAGTAGACCAAATCCTGCATGTACGAACACTAGGCTGCACAGGGGCGAAGCGGATCGTTAGTCGTCAGGTCTGTCAGAAAGAACTGCGCCGTTTGTTGCATAAGCGTTTTTGTTTCGTTGTCATGCACCTATTCGTCATGTTACATTTGCAAGTTCGGTCTCCTGGGACTAAATCACAAAGCAATGCAAACGTGACGTGATGAATAAGTATATTACGATGAAACAGAAACGTTTACGGTGTTAACAAAAAAAATAACACTCTTTAGATCTAACGACTTTTCGTGGGTTTTGCTCCTGCCTTTCCAAGCTTTGGTACATTTCAGATGTTGTACTCAGTGAAGTCCCTTTGTAATAATGCTAGCGCGAAGAGGGCTCATGTGGACTTCTCAAATATATTTCATCCTACTTGTGGCCAACAATTCCACATGACCCCTACCTGTCTGTCGCCACCGCGGACGAAGAGAATGTGTTAATTGCATCAGAAATGAATACACAATGAAGATGCGATGCATATGTAGCGAACAGTTTGTCGCTGGAAGACTGTTCGGCAACGTCCGGCAAGGCCTCACTCGTCCGTGCACCATTCGGAGAAATTTATTGTAACCACTTTGTGTTATACATATAAATGATAGCTATTACAAGTCGGTTGAATTGTGAGATACATCAAGATGCTATCCTATTTCTCCAGCGATGCTGCGGCCTGTTCTCAGTATCATCGTTTATATCCGCAGGACAACCCTCCAGTGGGGCTCGACCACCTACAGTGACACCTACAGTATGGACTACTTCAGATTGCTGTCAGCAGAACCATCCAGTGGGGCTCGACCACCTACAGTGACACCTATAGTATGGACTACTTCAGATTGCTGTCAGCAGATGACAGTAGTATAGGGCAAAAGGCCGCAAAGCAATGATGGCGAAACGCGCTGCGAAAATGTGCTTTGTCCATTTCTGTGCCATCTACAGTTGTCAGCAGATGCATCGCCGTACAGCACACGCGGCGTTGCAAGTGCGGGTAGCGACAAGTTCCAACTCGATCACACCAATTTACAGATCTTTGAACACTTCAGACAACAGGCGCTGCGTTTAGATTTTTTTAAAACCTTAAGCGAGCTAGCTCAAGGCAGTGTGCAGCATGGCACTTTAAGGTGTGGATAAGAGTTATACGTATTTTCACTCAAAAGAAAGACACGGAACAAACGTTCTCGTTCAGAAAGGTCATCGCAAAATGCGACGGAGACAAACGAAATGAATTGCATAAGCGGAGATAGCTGAAGCAATCCAACGTGGGTCTTCGCACCCCACAGCAAAGGAGAGGCAGGCGTGTCCTACAAAGACGAAAGGCCAGGTGTCAAAGCTGGGCATCGAAGCTGGAGTGATGATGTGATGCCTCATCTGACCCGTGCGGGTTTCATGTTGGGGGACGAGCTCACAGGAGCGGCACCCAACCAGGGCTTCACTGGGCACCGGCGCGAGCCGTACAACAGCCCCCTCGGCATTGGAGGGCGCTCAGGGACGCACCAGCTTACCTCTGCTCTGGGACGGTGTTCCAGCACACACGAGCTCACGTGCTGACTGGGCCGGGGCTCCGGAACACAGGCGGGCTCACCTCTGGTCCCCGGCCTGGGACGACGATCCCGGGCAGGCCTGCTTACCTGGCGGACGGACGGGGCTGCGGGGCGGCCGCGGGACGACCCTGCGGTGGACCACCACTCGGCTAATAATACAGTCCGGTGACAGCCCGCGGCCGTCCTCGGACCCCAGCGCTGCCAGCCTCCCATTGGTTGGCAGCGCGCGGTCGCGCCAACTCAAAACGGCGGGCGACACTCGCGGGCTATTTTTGCGCGCGCCCGTCGTGTGATCGGCGGTGTCGCGCCTTTCTCGCGGCAGGTCGGGTGGCGTCACCGCCGGCGGTATTCAGGCCGGGACCGCGGGTTCCGTGCGCCTGACCCGCTCGCCCCGTGTCGACGCCCGTCACCCCTGACCCGCCGCCCAGCCGTCCATTCAGCTGCGAGTCCCAGGTCCTTGAAGACGCACACGTCGCGTACGTGCTATACGGCGACGAACGGCGTCTGCCGTCGGTGTTCACCTCACGACATTGGAGAGTGCTTGTTCAAAAACGTCTGGTGGGCAAAATGTGTCCAGAGACAAAGACATTCACTTAAAAACAGTGTCGTGGCGACCACAAGATATTTACGCAGGAGCAGAGAAAACCGCGCTGTTGTTCAATGCCTCCATGCGAAATGTAGCCGGATCATTCAACCTCGTGACCTCTTCCGGCACCTTCAGCGCAGACGCGTAGAAAACAAACCACTGAACAACAGTAAGTTATATTCGTAAGTTTAAAATAACCTCGCAGCATCTCACAGTACACGGTACAGTCATCTAAACAGTACACCAGCTTGCGTTTACGCAACACAGCTCATGGCTTCACATTATATGCACCTCGCCCGGCGCCACCTGCGGCGCCCAACGGCGCCAATCCGGCCGACTCACCAGCGCCGCCAGGGGCGGCCGGTGCCGCCGCCCCGCGTGTTCCCCGAGAGATAGCCGCGACCCTGACCGCGAGAGGCGGGTGCAGCGGTCGCGAGCCATAGCTGCGCACCGGCGCCACCGGCCGAGTAGCTCGACCGGTGGCTGTCCTGGCTGCCAAAGTCGCCGCCGCCGCCGCCACCGGCGTCAGTGTACGGGTCGGCGGCGACGTCCTCCTCGTCAATGTACTTGTTGGCGTAGTTCTCGTAGTCGTTCTCCTCGTTGTAATCCTCCTCGTCGGCGTATGCCTCCTGGACGTACTCCTCTTCCGCCTCCTGCTGCTCGTACTGCTGGCCGCCGGTCGAGTAGCCATGGCCCTTTCCGTAGCCTTCGACCGAGGCGAAGTCCTGCTGGTAGCCGGCGACCGCGTCGGTCGCGTAGCCGCCCAGCTGCCCCCGGTTGTACTGGTGGTACTGGTTGTATTGGTCGTACTGGCCGCTGCCGCCGCGGCCGCGGCCGGAAAGCTGGTGCGCCTGAGCGCTGGCGTGGCCGCGGCTCGGCAGGCCATGCGCCGCGTGACCTCCCCGTGCTGGTAGTGGGCCGGTACCGCCCGGCCGGCCGCCGCTCTCCTCGGGCGGCGGCGGTGGTGGCGGCGGGGGTGGCGGTGGCGGCGGCTGCAGGGGCGGCTTGCGCGGCCCGCCGGGTGACGGGGTCGCTAGCAGGCCGGGCGGTGGCCCTCCCGCCGGCGGCGTCGGCAGAAGCGTCGGCCGGCCCGATCCTGGCAGCGGCGGCGCTTCCTCAGGCGGCGGCGGCGGCGGCGGCGGCTGATCGGGCGGTGGCGGCGGTGGCGGCGGCGGAGGGGGCGGCGGGGGTGGCGGGGCCGCCGCGGCCGGCAGCGGCGGCCGAGGCCTCTGCTGCTTGTGGTGCGCCCACCGCGACGGCGTGGAAAACGCCGGCGCATGGTCCGAGTTGGGCGAGTCACCCGAGCCCTGAGAATTCACGGGCGGCACGCCACGTTCATGGCTCACCACGTTCGGCACGGGGTAAGTGGTGGCCGGCGGCGGCGCTGAGACGGCCGGCGGCGCGGCAGCCGCTGCCGGCCCACTCGGCGACGTCGCCTTCAGAGCGCCCGTCTGCAGCTGCTTAGCGATCTGCAGCGCCGTCTCGATCGCTTCTTTGGAGAGCAGCTTGCTCAGATCCATCGACTGGGGCTTGACAGCGCCGGCCGACGACGGCGGCGGCGGCGCCGAAGTGGTGACGGGTGGCGCGCTCGAGACGGTGAGCGGCGCTGGCGGCGCGCTCGTCCGACCGGCCTCCTCCGCGCCGCCGGAGCCGTTCGGCGTGGTCTCCGGAGGCCTCTTTTGCGCCGGCGTCTTGATCGGGTCACGCGCCAGCAACACCTTGAGCTGCTCCACTTTGTCGTTCTTCTCGCGCTCCAGCTTCTTCAGGTACTCCATCAGCTGCTCCTGCTCGGGCCGACTCAGCGTATCGAAGTTGTTGAGCAGCGCGTGGATCTGCTCGGCACTCAGCTCGTCGTCAGCCTCCGGCGCTGGCGGGTTGGTGACCGGCTCGCGGTACTCGCGCGCCGGCGGCGGCGCCTCCGCCTGCAGCGCGCGCCGCACCACCGGCGAGCGCGCCGACGGCGCCGGCCGTTCCCACTCGTGGCGGCCGCGCGGCGCCGGCCGCGCCGGGCTCGGCGAGCGCTCCGCCTCGTCGTCGTCGTACGCCGACTGCAGCATGCCCAGACCGTGCTGCGGCTGCCGTGCCCGGTCGTCGGCGTAGGCGTTGAACAGCGGCGTCTGCGGCGGCGCCGGGCCGCGGGCGCCCGCCGCGCGGGGCGCCATGAGCGGAGCGCCCGACGTCAGGGGACCGGAGAAGGGCGCCGCCGACACCGCCGGCTGCGCCGCGCTCGCCGGCGCGAACGTGTTCACGAACGAGCTGACAGGCCGGCCGGGGGCGGAGGCGGGCAGTGGAGGCGCGGCAACCGGTGGCGTGGCGACCAGTGGCGTGGCGATTGGCGGCGTGGCCGCGACGGGCGGCACGGCAGCCGGCACAGGAGCGGCCGACGCGGGCGGAGCCGCCGCCGGCGCCGGCGGCTCGCTCGGCAGCAGCCCCTTGGCGATCATCACCTTGATGAGAATCTCGTTCAGCTCCGCCTCGGACACGTTCGTGCGGCCGAGGCTGGTCAGTGTGACGGCGATTTGCTGCGAAATGACCATCGGGTCGTTGCTGGACACCGAGCCGGCCACGCGGTCGGCCAGCTGCTGCGCGGTCAGCGGCGGCTCGAACACGTGCGCCGGCACGTCCTGCAGCAGCATGGCGATCTGGTCGATGGCCAGGCGCGAGGCGCTGACATTGGCCGGCGCGAGGATGCCGGCCGCAATCTGGCCCTTCAGCTTCTCCTTGAGCGTGTCCATGAGCAGTACGTTGTTGGTGACGGCGATCAGCTGGACAGAGCTGCCCGGCTGCAGCCGCTCGGCAGCCACCGCTTGCGTCAGCAGCGCGTTGGTTGGGCCGGCGAACGAGCCCAGCTGATCCTCGAGCGCCGTCAGCACGCGCAGCACCGACGGCAGGTCCACCTTGGTGGGCCGCGCCATCGCACGCGCCGCCTCGCCCGCCGACGAGGCCGACAGCGTCGACACACCCGTGTCGGGACGCTCCAGCGTCATCGCTCCCGGCGGTGACGGGTTGCAGGAGAGCTGACGGTGGTCGATCTCGGTGGAGGCCGAGCGCCCGCGGCTGCGGCCGGACTCCCACGGGCTGTCGGCCCGCCGCGCCGCGCCCAGCGCGTCCACCAGCGCGCCGTCCTCGTCTTCGATCAAGTCGTACTGGGCCAGCAGCTCCTGGCGCTTCTCGTGGCGCTCGCGCACGAACAGCTCGTCAATGTACTCTTCCCAGGCGGTCTTCCACTCGGGTGTGTACTCGTACGTGTCAGGGTTCTTGCCCTCACGCTGCACCTCCTTGTAGCGCCGCTCCCAGAACTTCTTCCACTCGGCCGCGTAGTCGGGGTGATCCTCCGGCCGCCGGTCGAATACCGCCTTCTTGGTGGCCAGCCGGCCCAGCAGGTTCTTCTCCAGACGCTCGAACTTGAATCGCCGCTCTCGCAGCTCAGAATATGACGCCGACGAGCCGCGGCCGCGCCCCGGCGGCGAGTCAGCTCGGCGCCGGTCGCGCCGCTCGCGAGACCGCGAGCGCCGGCCGTGATCGCGCCGCTCCCGCGAGCGAGAGCGCGTGTGGCGCGAGCGCTCTCGCGAGCGCTCGCGCGAGCGACGACCGCGCTCGGCCAGGCGGCGGCCGCGTTCGCGCGAGCGCGACCGCGAGCGCACCCAGTGGTGCCGGCTGGCCAGCTGCAGCTCGCGGGAGGGCGAGCGTCGCCAGCGGTCGCGCCAGGCGGTGGTCGGCGGCGGTGAGTGGCGCCGCTCGCGGGAGCCCGGCCGGCGCCGCACCACCTTCTTCGGCTCAACTTCGTCAGGAATGTTCATCTGGTCGCTGTCCTCGTCCGAGGTGATGAGCTCCATCACGGCAATCTGGTCACCCCCGGCCGGCACGCCGCCTGCCGCAGAGATGCCGCCGTTAGGTGGACACAGGACGCGAGCAGCCAGACGCGTCGGCAGTTACCAGCCGCAGCAGTCGGCAGTTTACCAGACAGTCGGCAGTCGGCAGTTACCAGAGGCGTCGGCAGTTTCCGCGCATGGACGCCTGCTACCCAACCAGGACAATACACGCAAATCGACGGCGGCAGGTACACGAATCCTGGCTCTCCGCACCCGACAAAAACAATGTCAACCAGCCATTAAAGCTTTTCTCTAAAGTAATGCTCCCCTATGACGCTCCCCTATGTGTCTCTATCTGAGCGTTGTTATCACTTAACAATGGCCGTCACTCACCCTCTTCACGTCATAACGCTGCCGGTGGCCGCATCATCCACGTACCTTTCTCAATGGCAGATTTTTTAGGGTTGACTTCATTTGTTTTCGGAAGCTTGTTCTCTTTCGTTTCCTTGCTGTCCGGTGTTTCCTTTTTGCTGCGTGCCTGCTTGCTTTCTTTATTTTCCGCCTCCCTTGAGGACTTCTTGGGTTCTTCTTTGCTCTTTTCATCCTGCTTGATGTCGGTTTTTCCTTTCTTCTCATCATGCTTTCCTTCGGACTTGCCCTTCTTCTCCGTCTTGTTTTTGCCTTCCTCTTTCTCTTCCATTTCCTTGGCCTTCCTTTTGGCAGCCTCGTAATATCTTGCCTCGATGGGGTCTTTGGGCCTGGAGAAGAGAGACAAGATCACTGTCGCATCCCATAGGGCGAAGGCGCACTCGCCACAAGGCCGCAGCATCCGCACCATACCACCAGCCACGGAACCAACCAGCGACTCGAGCCCCGCGGCCGCTCGCCAGCCCTACGCATCTCTGCACTGCCAGGCTGCCGCTCGCACTACAGAGCACGACGTGAATACGCGCATAACCAGGCACTGTGCCATGGCGACGGCGCAGCACGACTGGCACGCGCAAACAACCGGTGCCATAACACAGCCGGCCTGATCACGTGCGGCACCGCTGACGAGCCAGGACCGACCTGAGGTTAATGTCGGCGATAGTCTTCTTCTCGATCACCGTCGACGCTGTGGCTGTCTCCTCCCGCCACCTGGTGACAAAAGACACGACGTGGTTTAGACCAAGTGGGGCGTGCTGTACACAAGACCGCAGTTACGCTGAGCCGAGTTGTACAACCACCATAGCAGAATACAAAACTTCCAGCCGGGATGGCTTGCTCGTCTGCCATCCTTGAACACATCCAAAAGGGATGCCCAGGAAAACGCCGCGACATCCTGCACGGAACCACGAGCAACGGAACGGAAAACGATAGGGGAGCGACCAGAGAAACAGCGTGATCCCAGAAGTGGCAAGTCACTAGCCCAGCCGCGCCACGGGAGCTGGTTCGGCGAAGTGCGCCGCCCACCCGGACCCTGGCGCGGCGCGGCCCGTCCGCCGTCCGCCGTCCGCCGTCCGCCGTCCGCGGCTAGCCAGCTCACACCCACCTCTTGATCTCGGACTCGATGATCTTCTTCTCCCGCTCCACCTGCTCGTGGGTCTTTCCGTTGTCGCGGTAGTCCTGCGGCTCGGAGGGGAGGGTGGCGGCGGCGGCAGCCGGTGGCGGCTGGGTGGGCCACATGTGCACGGGCCCGTGCGTCAGGCCCGGCGGCGGCAGGTGCAGCGAGCCCAGCGCCTCATCCACCGACGGAGGAACGCCCGTCGCGCCGAGCCCCGCCACCGGCGGCGGTACCGTCATCGGCGGCGGCCCCGCCATCGGAGGCCCCGCCATCGGAGGTCCCGCCATCGCAGGTGCCGCCGTCGGAGGAGCCGTCGCGCTCGGCGGTGCAGCGCCGCCCGCTGAGGACACGACGGCGGTGCGATGACACGGGTCCGGTCCGGTCGGGCGGCCGCACGCCGCAGTCTCGGGAGTCGGCACGCATATCAGCGACGGACGAGAGCCGGCACCGTACCGCTACTAGCCCCGTACCTGGCGAGTCTACCAGGCGCTATTGGCAGCTGCCGCAACTGGTCGCACTACCGCCGCCCGCACCGTCCGAAATCAGGCACTTTGAAATGAAACAAAAAACACTAGCGCATATTCATTTTCATCATGAACTGTGAAAAGAGAAAACTGCACAAAAACAAGCCCCTAAGGGAATGAAAACATGCTACTACTCGTTGTCTTCAACGCAAAACCTAGTTTTTGCTAGGTCTTATCTCTCAAAAGGAACCTGTTCATCCCAACAAGCAATCAGAAAACGGCGAACATGATTACACAGTGAATGCCCGACGCGGTCACGCTATTCTTTCGTTTTTTTTATAATCAGGTGCGAGGATCATCTAAATGTCCCGAAATGATTTGCGCCGTCGCCATCTTGCACACGGCGGCATATTTCAACGATCGACAGCCAACACTGGCAGGAAGGCAGACCAACGACACTTAGTGTGGTCATTCCTGGTCACGTGACACTTTTCGTGCTGCTTTCAAGCATCCTGGTTTCCAATAAGCTGGTGAACAAATTCCGTTCAATTAAAGAACTGGACCTATCCACGCTCCGAGGACAAAGAAGTTGAAAATGCTAAGATCTCCTCGCACATAACAACCCGGCTCTCTCAGTTAAAAAACACGCGATAAGTTATCTGCAAATCTATCCCTTAAAGCCCAGCAGCCACAGACCCCGCTCCCGCTCGTCGGCGGCACGGCACCACATCACGAGCACCGCCGTGCGGCCGCCCCCAGCCGGCGCGCCGCCCACATACCGGCACAGGACGTCATCGTCTGCACGGTGCCAACGTTGAGGCGAGGCATCTGTTCGGGCGTCAGCGCCGGACCAAAAAACGGGTAAGGCAGATCGAAGTAGCTGATGTCGTGCGTCTCACTGCGGGCCCGGGCGGAGCGGTCAGACGCGGGCGCCGCCGGCCGCACGGACCGGCCGCAGCGGTGCGGGGAGCGCGAGGAGGAGCCGTTCGCGCCGCCCACGCAGTCGCAACCAGCCTGACTTAACGCTAATGCGGTTCGGATGGTCCAGCCTCTCTTGGCCTGGGCCATGACGTGCCGCGCTCAGAGCCGGTTTCGCACTAGGCGACATTGGTGTTTTTTTTTCGGGCTGCCACCGGCGCTCTGATGACTCGGACAGCGTGCCGGCCGATAATGGACAGTGTGACCGCATGACTCGCAGAGCGGATGCTCACTCACCGCGCGGCTGTGTCCGCGCTTCTACCAGCTAGGGCTGCCAACACCCCACACGAATCATCAAAAACGCGCGAAAACGGCGAGCCCGAGGTTTGCGCGCGACTGCGCAGTCGCCCACACACCATGACACACACTTTTGCCAGCAGGACAGTCCGTTTCTCCCCTAAGTGCTAGTATTATCTTTCTGCGACGCCCGTTCGTCAAGACCTGGGCCGGTGCCCAACCCATCCAGGTCTTCAGCCTTGTCGTATTTTGAACTCTTCGCGTTTCTCTTCTTAAGCCAATGGGGACGCAAATGTGGTGATATTGTATGACTATTTCAAAACAAAGTGGCAGAAATCACATAACACAAACTGACGTCGCAGAGATACCCCGCCCCATGCAACATCCTGATGAAAGCAACTGCTTAAGGTCGCGTTGACCGCGTGACACTTTTGTGTCTCCGATCTAACAATCAGCATATAAGCGTTTTGACGATACATAGTGCCACACAACTTTTAACTAATCGTGTTACTTGTCGCTGAAAATCTCATCTCAACCTGGCAGGAGGGGCGGGGACCGCTCGTCAAGCTCCATGTGAGCTCGTCAAAAGCACTATTGGCCGGGCGGGGGCACTACGGCTTTACCTGGCAGGAGGCGCGGGGACCGCTCGTCAAGCTCCATGTCAGCTCGTCAAAAACACTATTGGCCGGGCGAGGGCACTATAGCTTTACAATTACTGCTTAGCTTTACTAGAAACTCACTCGATACGCGGCCCCGATCTGAATGTGCATCCAGCCGTGGTAGGAGCTTACAAACGCCCTGTCCGTGCGACCAACGCATACAGGGCAATGTGCATCCCGCAACACGTGCCAACCAACCAAAGACTTGCACGACCCCACGTCAAGCGCCGTGCCTCTACCCCTCGCCCCAGCGACTCACTAGAAGTGGGAGCGCTCGTCGATGATGCGCTTGAGCGACAGAGCATCGGTCAGGAACTTGGCCTCGTCCACGATGCCGGGCGCCATGCGGCCGTAGCGCTCCTGGATGCGGGTGCAGATGACCTCCAGCTGCTGGAAGGTGGCGGCCGTCCAGGGCCGCTGGCTGCTCGTCAGGCCCTCGCCCAGCCGCTTGAAGGCGCGCGGGAAGTAGCGCTCCTGCGGACACGGCGGACCGACGCGCTCAGACCGGCGCCGGCCGGCGCAGGGGCACCGTCGGGCGGATGGCAAGGAGCACAGGGGCCACGCGCGCGAGGCACCAACCGGCGCAGGGGGCACCGTCGGGCGAATGGCGAGGAGCACAGGGGCCACGCGCGCGATGCACCGACCGGCGCAGGGGCACCGTGGGGCGAATGGCAAGGAGCACAGGGGCCACGCGCGCGAGGCACCGACCGGCGCAGGGGCACCGTGGGGCGAATGGCAAGGAACACAGGGGCCACGCGCGCGAGGCACCGACGCCAGCACCGTTCACGGGCGGGTGGCGCGGCACATGGGCGCGGGCCGCGCAGGAGGCGTCGTCCTCGCAGCCGCGCTCCCACACCGACACAACGGAACATGACGCACGCTCCATGACGCGGTCACACCTGCAGCCGTCCTGCGCCCGAGCGTGCGCCTCATGACGCGGCCACACCTGCAGCCGTCCTGCGCCCCTGCCGGGACCGAGCGCGCGTCATGGTACAGCCCACTCCCAGCCCGGAGAGGCGCTGGCGCCCGAGCGTACGCCACCCACTCACAGCCCGGAGAGGCGCACACTCGGCCGCCCAGCGAGCGAGGCCGGTTGCGCCGCCGTACCAGGTACATGGTGCGGTGGAACGGCGTCTGCAGGTGGGCGATCGCCTCCGCCTCGTCGTTCATGCGGCGGAAGCACATGGTGCAGACGAAGTAGTTGGAGAAGCTGGCGTTCACCAGCAGCATGAACTCGGTGCCTGTCGGCGGACCAGCGGTCACGTGTCAGGGGGGACGGCGAGGGGGAGGAGCAGCCGGCCCGGCCGGTTCCGTCACATCGCCCACAGCAGGGGCATCCACGCCTCCGCGCTGTGCATGCCGCCGAATTCCCAACATGTGAACCAAATAAGAAATCAGGACAATGTCTGCGGGCAACAAATCGATGACGGCAGCAATACGAGCGGCCCACCTATATCAGACAATATCGCACAGCTCCAGAGTACCCCTCCTAACGAAAACGCGCGGCAGATTGCGTCTGCTTCCCCGTCAGTGGCCGTTATCGGCAACGTCCCGGCATGCCGCCCACCTCACATTCCACGGCGGAATTCGAGGACGTCCGGCCCCGGAGCGGAGCGCGGCGCCGCTCACTCACCGACCAGCGCGCAGTCAGGGTGGTTGTCCAGGAAGGTCAGCTCCGGCTCCGCCGACCCGCAGCCGCTCCCCTGCGCGGCGGCCGGGCCCGGCGCCGCCGCAGACGGCGGGTAGCCTGAGGCGCCCAGCTGATGTTGTCCGGCCGCGGCCACCTGCGGACCCTGCGCGCTCGTCTGGGGGTATCCCGTCACGAACCCGTCGGTGCCGCCGGTCACACCCGTCTGAGAATACCCCGGCACGCCCGCTTGAGGGTATCCCGGCGCGACCTGTCTGGCCGTAGCCTTCGCCGGACGTCTGCGGGTACCCGGGCGTTGTCGGCCCAGTCGCCCCCGCGGCCTGCCACCCTTGGGCGCCTGCTGCCATCATGTGCGGACCTGCAGCGATGCCAGGCTGTCCAGCAGGCTGCCCGAAAGGCTGCGTACCCCCTGGTGCACCAGACCAGGAGCCACCAGGTCCGGCCGCTGAGGGGACACCCTGCATTCCTGGACGTGGGCCTCCCCTGCATTCCTGGTCTTGCACCTCCCTGCATTCCTGGTCGTGGGCCTCCTTGTATTCCTGGTCGTGGGCCTCCTTGCATTCCTGGCCGTGGGCCTCCTTGCATTGCAGGTCCTGGACCTCCCTGCATTCCTGGTCGTGGGCCTCCTTGCATTCCAGACCCTAGACCTCCCTGCATTCTTGGTCCTCCCTGCATTCCTGGTTGTGCGCCCCCTTGCATTCCTGGTCCTGGACCTCCCTGCATTCCAGGTCGTGGGCCTCCTTGCATTCCTGGCCGTGGGCCTCCTTGCATTCCAGGTCCTAGACCTCCCTGCATTCCTGGTCGTGGGCCTCCTTGCATTCCAGGTCCTGGACCTCCCTGCATTCCTGGTCCTGGACCTCCCTGCATTCCAGGCCGTGGCCCTCCCGGCACTAGCGGTCGTGGGCCTCCCTGCATTCCACGCCCTGAAGCTCCATCTAATAAAGGTCGTGGGCCTGCTTGTAGCCCTGTTGCTGGGCCTCCCTGTACTCCGGGTGGCGGACCGCCTGACCCGGCAGGTCTCGGCCCCGAGGGCGCGCCGTGCGCTGCCGGCCGTGGCGCCGCCGCCGTCGGGCCGGCGGCCTGTGCGGCCAACGCTGTGGCCGGCGGCGTGGCCTTTACAGCCACGGCCGGCCCCAGTCCGGGCACGGGCGGCTCCGCGTCGTCGCCCTCCTCTTCCTGCGCCGCGCCCCCGGCCGGCTTCTGCCCAGAGCTGTGCACACCTCCAGGTCCGGCGCCTTTCTGCTCCACAGACCCATCGGGTTCGGCAGCTCCCAGGTCCGGGCCTTTCGACTCAGGCGGCGGCTTATGTCCTGACACGGCAGGTCCAACGCCCCGAGCCGACGCCGTGTCCGTGCCTTTTGCCGCTCCTGCTCCGGTGGTGCTTGACTTGCCCGTGGCGGAGTCCCCTGCCTCGCCCGCGCCGCCCGGCCCCGCGGGGCTCGGACCTCCAGGGCCGGGCATACCCGGCCCGGGGCCCCCGGGCATCCCGGGCCGGGGGCCGCGCCACGGGCCGCCCGGCACGCCGGGCCGGAATGGACCCCTGTGCATACCGGGCCATGGGCCGGCGGGCCTCATGCCTGGAAACGGCATGCCCGGCCGGGGACCGCGCATCATGGGCGGCCAGGGGCCTCGCCAACCGGGCCGCGGACCGCGCATGCCCGGCCGCATCATGCCCATCATGCGTGGGTTGAAACCGGGTCCTCCCGGGAACCTGGGCCGGAAGCCCATTGGGCCTGCGTTCATAAAGCCGGCGCCCCAGTCCTCCGACG